GCAAACTTCCCTGGAAGAGTCGTGTTCTAATGGTTTGGGTAAAGTACAATCTGATGGCAAAAGATGAACAGTCAAAACAAAAACTTAGGACTCAGCACATAAATAATAAAGTCAAAAACTACCCCACCTGGCCACTGGCACCCCGGCTGCGGTCCCTGCGACTATCTCCCCCATTAACATAAACTTCCGCCCCTCCCCTCGGCGCGACCAGCGCTCTGGGGGAAGCACCCCGCCCTCCCGAGGGAGATCCGGTCTGCGCCCCTCTCAGGTCTGCGCCCCTCTCACGGAGGCGCTGCCTCTGCCCGGCGGCAGCGGCGCACGCTGTCCGCTGCACCCACTCGCGGCACCCACCCCGCGCGCGCGCTCTGCGCAGCCTGCATTTTCTCCTCCGCTGCATCTCAGCTCGCGGCTCCCCCAGAAGCCTTCTTGACCCTACCGAAAGGGGTATTTCCTGTTCTGGCTATCTCCGCCACTTGTTTGTTTGCACTTCCTGCAATGTGCGATTTACTTTCATTTCTTCGCCCTGACCCTAGATGGACGCTTCCCGAAGGCAGGAGCCTCCCTCTTTCTCCTTGTCATCCCCCAACAAAGAGCACCGGGCACAGCGGGCGCTGACCGGCTGGTGGGTGTGAATGAAGCTACTGTGACTTTATGTGTTTTATTTATTCTTTACCGTAACCAGGCGAAGCACTTATTATCACCATTTAAAAGATGAGGCAACAAAAAGCCAGGAATACTGAGCGATCTGTATATTTTAAAGGAAGCAACAGGATCGAGATGCAGGTCAGTGCTGAGGTTGCCTGGCTGTCCCCCACCCATCCCAGTTCCCAGCACCGAGAGTCAACCCTCTGCCCATCCAGCTTCCTCCGCCTTCTGCCCCTTCCAAGTCACGTCTTTCCAAGGATATGGGCTTCCAGGCTCTTCCAAGTCGTGGATGGTAAAAGCAGTGCTTCTAAATGTGGCAATTTTGCCTCCCAAGGGACATCTGCCAATCTCTGAAGACATCTGGGTTGTCACAACTGGGCAGGGCCAGTTGAGCAGGCCAAGGATGCTGCTACACACCCCGTAATTTACAGGACAGCACCCCTCTCAAAGAAAGAATTATTCGACCCCAAATGTCCTGGCACTGCGGTTGTGAGGCCCGGACAGCAAAGAGCCTGCTGGGAGCAGAGGCGCAGGCGCCCTCGGCCTCAGGGGCGAGGCGGGTGGCTGGAGTGACTCAAGCAGGACCCGCGGCAGCAGATAAACCACAATGTTTACCACCTATCTTTTCCATATTCAGGCTACATTTTGCATGGTGTTTGTTTTTTAAATGGCATCTTAAATTAAAGTCTCACCATCGACAAGCTTCGTCTGCACCTTAAAATTGTCCATTCTCCACTTCCGCAAAGGAAAGCACCCCTTCCATGATCTCTTGAGCCCTCCCAGGCTATCCTTCTGTCTTTCCGCTTGTGATAAGGGACCTGGGTACAGGAAGCATCACTCTCCTCCCAACTCTAATTAAAATAACAGCCACAGATGATAAATGGCAACTCAGAGCTTGTTTCAAGACTACACCAGCGGTTAGGAGAAACTTCCGCAAACTGGCCTGAGCCCCCGTTTAAAAGGGGGAGAGGGTTCACTCAGCTCCAGGGGATTACTGCAGGAGGGAGGCCAGCTCAGGATGCCAGGGGATCTGTTCCTAAGGAGAGGCGGGATGTCAGACTTTGAAACTACCGCTGCTTCCCCATCCCTCCCCCACCCCCAGACTCTGATGCCACTGGCCAAGCTACCTGGATGGTTCAAGTTTCCAGGTGACGCTAGTATACAGCTAAGGCTCACAGCCACGAGTCTAGTCCAGGTCTCCCATTTTCACTCCTGCACAAACTGAGGCTCAGAGAAGCTCAATGCTCTGCTCATGCACTTGCCTAGTTTGAAACTCACACAGAGTCAGAACGTGGTTCTTCCAAGGCACTGTTTGCAAAGCATGGGTCATAGCAGCAGATCATGAAATCAGCTTAATGGCTTATACGCAGCATTTTTTAAAAGGGCAGATAGAAAAATCAGCGTCCAGTGCACATTACGGGGATTAGTATTCTCACATGACACTGCTGTTCTAGTTCCGCATATGCCCACATGTGTGAGTCCCTGGCTGCCTCTCCAAACACATTCCCCACCCTTCTCTGCTTTGTTCCCAGCCCGGGAGGCTGACCCTACAGATGGCTTCCCCGGGCCCTTAGTAAGGGTTTCCGGCTGGTCAGCCAGGGAGAGGCCCCAGTAGAACACAGGGCTGCAGGACAGCGTTTGGGGCCGCTCCTCTTGGTAGCCCCACTCCCAGGCACAGCTCTGGGGTTCAGCTCCTGACGACGCTCCGCTTCCCCTTCACGATGCCTGGGTGCTCCCGGATCCTCTGTGGATTCCCCAGGCCTGCTCACATTCCGGAAAACAGCCCTTTTGTTAAATGCTTCCTGCCAGGACACTGACATACACAAATAGGCAAACACGTGCCTGTGTGCACTGGGTTGCACTTCAGGAGTGTGGGCAGATTTTAATGTGAACTCTACTGTTGACTGTGGGCTGTGCTCAGAGAAGTTGCAGGGACATGGCCAAGGTCCTTCTGTCTACACCACAGCCTCCCCTGGATGATACAAAAAGAAAAAAAATCATTTCGAGAACTCTTCTTTGCAACTGTGAGCATTAAATGAATCGTAAATCATGCCCCCAAATGAGAGAAATGTGTGTATTACAATGGATTTTTAAACAATGTTTGACACTGCCCAAGGCAGAAAGGGCCCCCTGGGTAGCCAGCGGGCTCCTGACCAGGACTGAGCACACCTGAAGGATGAGGGAAATTGAATTAGGGACCCCTCATCCTCTTCCAACTCTTCAAATCTGTGCTTGTATCAAGGAACATCAAGTTTTAAAACTTCTTCCTGAACCTACCTGAAGCCATTTCTGTCGTAGCAAAGGCCCACACGGAGGCCGTACAGTTGGCCCAGCTGTCCCCCGTTCTGGGAGGGGGAAGGAGAAGAAATGAAGCAGCTTTAAGAATGTCTGCACTCTGCTCCTCTGCAGGATCCGAGGGTAGATGGCCAGAGAGAACACCAAACATCCCAGGTCCCATCATTCTCCAGAACCATCTCCCACGCTGCCCCTGGGGCCTTATGCGGATGGTTAGCAAGGACAGAGAGTCTCTGGACCTTGGTCTGGCCATCCAATCTCCACACACCTGCTGGCCCATGACCAGCGTACACCCAAGAACACAGGACAGTTCCTTCACTGTGCCGCCTTCCGACGGCCACAGGGGCGAGTCTAGTGAAGTGCCACACTGTTTTATTAGTACAAAACTGTACTGAAATAGAGGCATCACTAAATCGAAATTTCAACCACCCAGTATCAAAAGAGTCACAGGAAACGCAGCTACAAGAAAACGGGCGCAAATGAAAATGGCAAAGGTTACTACTCTCTAACTTGTTACCATAACCCTCCGGAAGAAGCGACACCATTCCACATTCGACGATAAAGTTGTTAACGCTCACACTGGCCAGTCAAGAAAAATGCAACTCTATCCTGTCACCAGAAGGCACGTATTATGCACGAGCCTTTATAACAGCAACTAAAACACGTTAAGTGCATTAGATGCCAAGTGCCTTTCCATGTATTACCCACCCTAGAGGTCTGCTCCTCAGGACATGCCCGTGAGGTAGGGAGGTGATAATCCCGTGTCACAGAGGAGGAAAGGATTGCAAGGGAAATAACCTGAAACTTAAACCACACTTCACCACTGACAACGAAACCTGGAGCATCTCATCCGCTATACCATGCTGCCTCCCCAAGGTGAACTCACCTAACCTGCACACCACTAAGGTTGGGCAAGCTTCCTACTGAAAAAAGGATGAAGGTACACTTCTAAAATTCTGAATTTTTCTACACTTGACTCTACAATAGGACAAAAAGTACCCCAGTAATAATAGCAATCTTTCTGAGCCCATTAATTAACACATACACACAGTGATGACTCTGGGTATTTATAATTGAGTGGCTTCTAACAGCGGCGGCTGTGATCTCAGGACAAGTTAATTTGCTGTGTTCTACTTCTCGGCCTATATTGAACTCCAAATTCGTTTGGGTCACTAAGGGAATTGGAAACGACTATTAAGAGAGAAATCACCAACAGTTAAATAATTCAGTAGCCAAAGCCCATTAATGGCGTTATATAAGAACAGCAGTGTTAGAGCATTTTACTGGCTGACGCAGAAAAATTAGGCCTATTATCCAAACTGCTATAACTTGCCTCATCGGGAGGCATATCAGGAAACAAAGGAAACCTGAGGTCGGTCCACAACCTGTGAATGTTTCAACTTTATTTTGTTCAGCACCTCCTTCCTTATCATCATTTTGGTGCAGGGCAGCGGGAGGAGAGGGGAGACCTCCACACCAAACGTTCCTCTGTCGGTGGGGAGGATTAAGGTTCCGGCGCCCAGAACACCCTGGAAAGTGACTTGCCGAGGGGAATCACAAATAAAGTGCCATCGGTGGTGTTTGTGGCGAAGAAGAAAAAAGGACGTTAAAAATTAATTGTAAGTTTAGCAACTTTCTAGGACAGGAGCTTTGGCTTTGGGCTCTACGGATCGCACCCAACCCCAAGGAAAGCACCCTCCCGGGCAGGGGCCGAGATAACGGCGAGGCGGCCGGTGCGCGCCAATGAGCAGCGCCCAAGTCTCGTTAGCGCAGACCTGCCCGTTCGCGGCCAGGCCGGGCAGCTGTTGATCTCGGGGCCATTTTTTAAAAAGCAGAGACCGAGAGCGGGTGGGAAGCGAGCGGGGCGGCCTGAGCCGGGGGGAAAGCCGAGGAAAGAGGAGGAAGAGATAAGGACGTCCCAGGAAAAGTCAGAAAGGGCTGCAAACTGGCGGGGACCGGGGGCGGGGCTGGGCGGCAGGGAAGCGGGAGAGGAGCGGAGGACGGGGGCCCGCGGCTCAAAGTTCCGCGTCCAGCGGCGCCCGCGCGCTGGGACTGCTCACCTAGCAGGAGGGTGGTCCAGGTCCGGCCGCGCCCCGCACGCCGCAGGCCCAGCGCCCCGCGCAGCCCGGCCGCCAGGCGCCCCCCGAGGCCGCCCCCGGAGGGCGGTGAGGTGGACTCGGCGCGGGGCCCCTTTCTGCCCGCGGCGCCCTTGCGCCCGGGGGACGGGGGCGCGCGCTCGGGCCCGGGGTCCCCGGCGCCCGGCGCCCCCCTCAGCGGCGACGGCGAGGCGCGGGGCGGCTTGGGGGCCGCGTCGCGGTGCTTGTTCCGCGCCTGCAGGACCATCTTGGCATAGTCGCGCCCGCTGGCTGCGCGCGCCCGGACGGCGGCCGGGGCGCCGCTCACTCTCGGCGGAGGGCGGGTCGGTCCCTCCCCGCGGGCCAGGAGGCGGGGAAAGCTGCAAGGCCGGGCGGCGGCTGCCTGCCTGGCGCTGCGGCCGGGAGGCGGCGCGGGACCCGCGCGCCCGCCGCCGTTGCTCCGGTTGTCACGGCGACCGCGGAACGCCGGGGGGCGGGGGTGGGGACACCCTGTGAGCGGCCCCGCCCCCGCCGCTCCGCGCCGGACGCGCGCCCCGGCCGACCAACGCGCACGCGCGGACTTCCGGCGCGGGCGGGAGCCAACCCGGTGGCCGCCCCGCGACCCCTGTCCAGCTCGGGACCGGCGCGGAAGTCGGCGGGGGCGAGTGCACTGACCGCCTTCCGGGTACGGCCGCCCGTCTCTCTGCGAGTGGCGGGAAGGCAGGGCCCTCTCGGGACGGGGGCCGCTGGTCGAAGTTTTGACCCGATTAAGGCTGCGCTTGGAGCCCTGCGGAGTCCGCGTGGCCCCGGAGGCGCGGCGCGGGGTGGCTGCACCCGGGAAGAGGCTCTCGGGAACGGCCGTGCGGGGGCGCTGTGCATGCGCTCCTCGGCCTCCGTGGCCCCGCGGCTGGAAGGCAAGGAGGATAGAGTCGAGCCCCGTCCCACATTCACCCGCTACAGTTCCTCCCTTACGTGGGGCCTTGCAACTTAGGAGGTTGAGGAGTGCAGCCACCCGGGTACACTCACGCGAAGGACGGTGCACCCCGGCTTAGAGGGCAGCAGAATTCTTAGTTTCACACGCTGTAACCTTGTGGCTTAAAAGAAAGCAAGCAGAACTTTATTTGCTCCTACAAAACTTTAGTCGAAAACGTATCTTCTTTCACAAAGCCTCGGGATACACGAGCGAAGGAAGCCGGGGAGGAGTGGGAAAATCCAGGCGCGTCCCAACGATCCCACTCCCCTCAACCTCAGCGCAAAGCCTTACAGCCTCCTGGATAACAGGAGGAGCTCCTGTCCTTGCTCTGTCCAGTGGGCTTGCTCCCAAAAGTTGTCCATGAGTCCCAGTTTTGTAATTCAAGCCACCTCGTGCTGATTTGATTTACCTTCATTGTACTTCCAGGGTCTTCATGAGCCTGTGGATCCTCTTAAGTTTCTCTGCCCACACATTTCTTTATTAAGGCGGCTGATAACTGGCATTCGGTATTACGCCCTTTTAAGGGACAACGAATTCTTTCATAATGGGAATTTATTTTGCCATGCTAACTAATAATGTCTCATACCCTACATACGGTGGATTTGGATTTTTCCAATAAAGGTTGGAGCAGGGAACAGCTATTTTTAGACATTTAAAAAAAATTGAAAGTGATATTACAGAATGTTTGGATTCTAAAACAATGTGTCAGGTGGATACGGTGTTACCATCTTGGATCAGTTTTTAACTTGTTACCCATTAGAGTAAAAGAAACCTATTTCAATGTCTATTAAAGGTAATACAAATAATTTGTTGACTGGTTTTCTTTGAAAGATTAGAAAAAACACGTGGAAAAGAGATCTAGTATTTGAAGTCTTGAATCGCTTACCTGTCTCCTATCCACGGTAGGCATGGGTTCAGAGACTGCCTCCCTTCAACTGGGACTATTGTACAGGGGAAACACCCGTTGGGTGAATAAATGAGTGATTGAGTGAGTGAATGCAGGTGAGAACAGAAGCAAATGATGGTTCAGTATGCTGTGTTTTGTAGAGCACTTAAAAGTCTGGAATTTTTAGAGGGCCAAGACTTTCCACTGCTGCTGTGGAGAATCCCCGAGAGAGAGGGGCAGTGCAGGGTCTTGGTTAAAACACATGGTCACTTTAGGCCCAGCGTCCAGTCTTGGTGCCGACAACTAACGGCCCTGTGACCTTGGCCAAGTTACTAGACTTTCTTCAGTCCGGTTTCCTCACCCCTAAAATGAAAGTAACAAAAACATCTACATGGCACGTTTGTAAAAATTAAATAAGACAATGAATGTAAAGGATCTAACAATTCCATGGAACTAATTTTTCAATCAATGTTCAAAGCAGCGGGTGATGTCCAAGGAAGACGGCAGGTCCTCGGTCCTCCCAGAGCAGGGGGCTGGCAGTCCAGGGCAGTCCGGGCTGGGGGCAGCAGGGGAGTAGAGCCTAGGGGAGCTCCGACAGCTGCGTCCCCTTTGGACTGGTCCCGCTGAGCTTCACGCTCCTCCGCGGTCCGAGCCACTGATCCCCCCTGGAGCTCCCAGCTTCCCACACGTGCCTGACAAATGGTGCCCATTCAGGCGTCATTAAGCCTGGATAAAATAGTAGGCAGCTCCTCTTGCCCTCCTCCCCCCACCCCCAAGAAAGAGGACGTTTTACACACAAGGAGGGTGGTGGGGCAGAAACTAGAACACTTGCGGAAGATTACACATCTCATTTTGTTCTGTCTCGATAACTCTTGAGATCCACCGGAGCAGCAAGGCAGTCTCCTCACCTCTGTATCCTTAGGCCGGTGCCTGCCACACAGTGGTGGATGCTAGGAAAAAAGGAAAAGGAAAAGTGGAAAGCTGATTTTAAACACTGCATTGGGCACTGTGCACGGATGATCCTATGAAGTGATTCAAGGTTACAATGAATGTAGACTCACCGTGGCAGTTACTGACCACCTTCAATGTGCTTTTCTTTCCACGAGTTGCAGGTGCACCAGGAAGGTATTTCCTTCTGTGACCCTGTAGCAACACTGGGCCAAGGCAAGCAGGTTCCAAGGACAGGAACCCACCTGAGCACCCACTCAGGAAGAAGCCCTGGTCTGGTCCTCTGTGTGCAAAGCCAGTCCTTTTCTCACTAAAAGCTCCACGTGGGGCGTTTGAAATTCTAAAAAAAAAAACAAAAAACTTTTTTTCATTGGAAAAGTATTTTTTAAAAACTTAGATGATAGAAGAGATTAAAAGGAGGAAATGAGCATAAAATAAAGAGGAAAAGCATAAGATAATAGAAGCAAACAATACCCCAAAATTAAATACTAAGATATAGGGGCCAAGGGAATATGGTTAAATGGGCAAGGAAAAGTCAACTTAGGCCAAGGGAAGGCTGGCTGTGCTGGGAACCAGCTTCCTTCTTCTGTACACTGGCATTTTAAAGGCCCCATTTAAAACTCCCCGATTTCTCCCTTTTCCCCCATCTGCTCTGCTCCCCACAGGAGTGGCAGCCAAGGGAGAAGGGTGACCGTGGCATCGATTCCTCATTTCCCCAGACTGGGTCACTTGATCCCTTTAATAGCGAAGTGTCTTGGGGTCAAGTTCTAGATTCTGGCAGTTGCTTCCTTCAGCCAGCTGGTCAATATTAAAAGGGGAACCTGCCTACTCCGAGCACAGTTCACAGTAACTGAAAATGGGTGCAACACAGTGTATACGTGTAACACTCACTCCTCAGCAGACAGCCAACATTAACATGTCACTGTGTTATAATATATCTGTTTGGTCTCTGGGGAGGACAGATGTAAATTGCTACTTTATTGCTTTTCGAATTTTATCTACTGTCTTCCTCCTAGCTGACCTTGTAATTTAAACTGTTCATGCTCCAGTGAGTGTTCCCGAGAAACTCAGAGTTCATTATCTGTCCTGGTTAGAGTGCTTTGTCAAGAACCACTTGGTTGCAGACGGGCCTGTCTCTCCCAAATGCAATTCCTGTTATTGAGGGCTTACTATGTCCTGAGGACCTTAGTAGGTATGAAAAATGCATATGCTAAATTCCCATCCCCAAAGGGCTGACAGTTCGGTTGGAGAGATGGAGTGTGTTGGAGCAAAATACAGTTACATAGGGAAATAACATGATTCAGAGCATAAGTATAGAAAATGACCCAAAGAGAAGAGATCACAGATGATGCAATTAAGGAGTTCTCGGGGGGGAGAGATGAAACTCAGTCTAGGCCTTGTTAGAATAACAGACTTTGTTTAAACAAAGAAGAAACAAAAAACACACAAAAGGCCTTCCAGAAACCCTGTGTGCCTGGCACAAAATAGGGGCTAGTATGAATATCTTAAATCCTTTTGGGGATGAGGAAGGGAAGAAACAATGAACGTAAGATTGAGTAATAAGCAGATGGGTTAGAAGTGAGCATATGAATGAGGCAATGATTGGGTCAGGAAATGCCCAGAGCGCCCCAGCATGGATCCTGGCTCACAAAGCCCCACGTGTTCCTCTAGACCTGAGCAGACTGTCCCCCAAGGATGCCGGCCTCCCCCTACACCCAGGCGGCCTTAGGAATACTGGGAGCCCGTGAATCCTACCTCCAGCCTCAGACCCAGGCCCAGACTTGCCTGCCCGCTGCGGGCCTTTGCGGATACCTAGCCAGAAGTCCTGCCTCCCTCTCTCCTGCCCTCGGGCACAGATGAGAAGGGGACTGATCCCTCTAAACATCTATGGCCAGCTGCCTCCCCCATTCTCCAGAGTAAGGATGGGGATGCACCACACAATTTGTCCTCTTGTCCTAACTCTATCACATGCTCCCAGCAAATGTTAAAAAAAAAAAAAAAATGTTGCTTACCTTACAGCAACCTTATGTGTTCTAAGTTTCATTTAAGACTAATTGGAAAAAGGCCTGTATTTTGGTGAGATGAGGACGGAAGGCCTTACCCAGGTGGGCCCTTAGGGTGGAGGGGAACAGAAGGGGACATGTTGGAGAATGGGAAGTGCGGGGGCAGAGGGCACGCTGATGCTGGGGTCCCTCTAGCAGCTGCTGGGAATTTGAGGGGAGCTCCCCTGAACCCCCGGAACTGGCCACCTGCCTAACCGACCTGCCTCATCACAGCTTTGTGCAGTTCGGGGAGCCTCCGGGACAATTTTCTTTACAGGGATCCCAGGGACAGTGTTATTTTAAAGATGGCACTGCTGCTTTGAAAAATGAAAGTCAAGCAAAACACAGGACGCTTCTTAAAATGCAGGTTATTGGCCACTTCCCCAGAGAGTGAGGCGTCTAGGGTGAGTTCGAAGGCTGCCGGCATTTCCAGCCAGGAG